CCTACTTCACTCTGCTGGCCTTGGCATGTTTGGGTACTACTCATGTCTTAGTGCCTGATCCTGTGGTCGGCCACATAGGATCAGGCATATGGGAGACTGAGTTACTGGAAAAAAGTCTCAACTTGATATGAGCTCAGGCACGGCCTATACTTAAAGGGCATCTGTACTTTTAGGCCCAACACCGAGGGGAAGCAGACAAGATGAAAAATTCCGAGAATGTTTTTAAGAAATACAGTTTGGGCAGGCATGGCGGCTTTGTTTGGTGAGGTTTCCGGGCTGGGAGGGCAGGCATGGTGAATCGATCCCAACTTAAGAACCGCCACCAGTGACAGGCAGGGGCCGCTCCTAGGGCTGTGCTATGAAGGATTCTGAGGTCTGGTCCAGGCTCAGAGCGCACAAGTGCAGTGACTGATTAGCAATGGAATGGGGGGTGAGATTGCGGCACCCGTGCTACACTGACATTGACCTCTAGATGCCAGGATAGGGAGAAGACTGAGGGATGTGCAGAAGAACTTTCGGAACTGGAGGCCACAAGGAAGTAATCACCACTTCCTTTGTGAGGGCCAGTTATTAATGACTGAGGCATGTGTGGCCTGATGGGCTGGGCGTGGCATATGGGACTGAGTTTCAGGCCCAGTTCTCCTACTGGGACTGGATATCCCACTGTATATCGGATGGCTGAGGGCGAGGGAAAGACTTAGTGCCTATGAAGTCACAGCTATGTGCCAGTAAACGCTAAGTGCTTTATATACATCACATTCTTTCATTAACTCCAAGTCTGTTTTCTCAGTCATGAAAGGGGAATAACATCACCAACGTGCTGTGTGGATTAAATGAGGTCACATGAGGGAAAGTTCACTGTATACTGTAAATTGTTCGAGAACGACAAGTACTAGCACAATGACGATCTGCATTCAAGGCATCATGACATAGTAGTTGGCTGTAGGGTTCAGCCTCAGACAGGCCTGGGTTCTGATTCCAGCTTCCTTATTAGATTTTCCCTATATCGCAGTTTCTTCATATAAAATATGGAGATAACGTCAGTATCATCTAATAATAGTGCTATAATTACAGGGGACAGTGCATGTAAAAGAGTGAGCAGCAAAGTGCTTGGCACATAGTAAGCACTTGATAAATGACAACTGCTTTTAAAAATTGTAACTCTTTTTGTTAATATTATTTTAAAAGGTCGGCTCTTTGTCATAGGTTTTATTCATAGATTCCAGTAAACTGTTCAATCATAAAAAGGTCTGGTGGAAAACTGGTTTGTGTTTGCAAATTCAAGTTTGCCTCTTTCCTCCTGACCACAGAACCCAAAGGCAGATGGTAACATCGGAACATCGGCCACGACTACCCGTCAGAGGCCAGGCAGCTGTGACGGCACAGCGGAGCTTGGGAATCCGTCCTCCGCGGTGTGCTCTGTCATACCGCTGCCTCTGAGCGGCTGGGCAGTTTCCTGTGGAATCGGCAGGGCTGCTGGTTAAATGCCACACTCAGACACTTAGCACTCAGAAGAACTTGCCACAGGGGGCAAGTGAAGCCTCTGTGCTGACTGACACAGGATGGACGAGCGGACGGGGCCATCCATCAGTGTCAGGAAACAGCTGAAGCACCTGGCTAGTCAGTTGAAATAAAATAAATTATTTACTGATCTCAGGACCTAGCTGCTCACGTCAATGCTCATAAAAGGCGTGCTGTTTGCTGCCCTGTGCTCTGCAGAGGCTTCTGTCTCAGAAAGAACTTCCGGATTGCTGTGGGCAGGTTTCTGTTGTTGTTAGGATGTTATCATCTGCTCGGCAAGGAGGGAGAGAGGGTCTGAAGTCACATATCTGAACTCATCTACACGGGACTAGGGAATGAACTGATTTATTCACTGCATGGTCCAGTACTCATGGGCACAGTTTAATTTTATTGTCACAAAATTCCTCAGGACTAATTAACGAAGTTTCTGCTCATAATGCTAAAGGCTGAACTTAAATTCATAATTGAAACATAGTCTGACATCTGTTGCAGAAGCGCCTCAGGGCCGTGACTCTCCACCAGAGGGCGCCACGTGTGCCACTGGAAGCATCCAGAGGTGACTGGGCCCTGGTCTCCAGTCAACCTCATTTCTGAGAACCACAGCTCTAGGGAGAGATGCTTGCATCATTGTCATCATCCACTTCTACCTGACACGTCTCCACGGTGGCAACAAGTAAAACTTTGCCAACAGAGCCACTACCTAATCTGAGCTAAATACTTTCAAGATGGTGGACGAGGAGAGAAAGCAACAGGTAAATACATTATGACAACAGTTAACAACAGTAAGATAAGCTACCGCTGAGAATACAGCTTCTATGGGCCAGACACTTTCATACAATCTCGAAAGGTAAACATTATAATTCCCATTTTATAAATGACAAAAACTAAGACTGAAAAGGGAAGGGACTTGTCTGAGGTGACACTGCAGGTAAGCGGTAATGCTGGGACTCGAACCCAGGCCTGACTGCAGAGCTTGGGCTCTTCCCACAGATCCTTTTGTGGACTTTCCCCTTTAAGTGAATGAACGGGTCAGAATCTGATGAGTTCAAGTTTGGCTTCTTGCCTTCGGAACAAGATGGGTGGAAGAAGCCCGCAATCTTGGTTATCTTTCCAAGGCACCGTGTTTCACGCTGGGGCTCGGGAGACTCGCTGATTATGCTCTCCTGGGAGAATCCCTCCCTGCACCCTGGACCTCTATCTTGGCTGCACTCAGGCGACTCAGCGAGCTTCTTAAAACTAGACGCGCCCAGGAAAGGCAGAGCCTGTGTTACCGGGAGGTGCTGCACGCAGGCACACACACTGAATGTCTGAGTAGCTTTCTTACTTTCGTAAACGTTTAATTGAAAATACACCAACAGAAAGTACATAAGACATAAGAGTTTCTATGACTTGCGTTTCCCACAAAGTCTATATACTCATGTAATCAGCACCCAGATTAGAAACAGAGCCGTGTCAGCAGCCCAGGGGCTTCCCCTGCAGTTACTACAGCCTCGTCTTCCCCCAGGATAACCACCATCATTACTTCTACACAGCAGATTATTTTTGTGTATTTTTGAATGTTATATACATGGAATCATACAGTATGTCATTTTACCCCCTTTTGTGGATCTAGTTTCTTTTTGAGCAGCCTTATTATTTTTATTTCTATGACAGATGCTAGGAAAAGCATCCCCAGGAAGAAGAATGCTGAACAACTTTGTTTTAAGAATCAACATTAATTGAGTTAATTTTTTTCTTTTTTATCACTATAGAGACTTAGAGTTTTTTGTGAAGAGAGCAAAACAGTCTAGAGAGGGGAAAGAAAGGTGGGCTCTGTGTTTTGGTTCAGAGTTTCGGAGTGCCAGCTCGTCTATTTAGTCTGTTTGAATCACCACCACCTTAGCGGCTGATGCTCACCGAGGACCTGCTGTGTCCCAGGCGCCTTTCTAAGTGTTCTGCATGGGCTACGATATTTCATCCCCATAACTGGCCTGTCTCTGAGATAGGGACGACTGTCTTCATTTTACAGATGAGGAAACAGAGACTGCATCATTGGCCTGTGGTGGTGCAACTAATAAATGAACCAGGGTTTGAACGCAGACTTCTAACCTGAGTCTGTCCTCTAAATGCTCCGCTGGTATGCTTCTCCACCAACAGCTCTCATTTACGTAAGTCCCACCGACTGCCACCCTAAGCTAAGTGCTTTCCATGGAGTCTCTGACTCAGTCCCCACAGCAATCCTAAGAAGCTGGTACTACTGATCTTCCCATTTAAGCTGAATGAAGCCGAGGCTCTGAAAGATTAAGATACTTGCCTAATATGGCTGGTTATTGATAGAGCCCCAGTTTAAACCAGTTGTGATTCTGGTGCTCATCTCTTAACTACTACGCTGTATGGTCAGCATATTTCATGCTCCCGTCAGTCAAGTTGGGAAGGAATTATTGAAAGATTTTGAGGCTTACTACAAATTACCCAGCATTCTGGCTTACTGCAAATAATGCCAACATTTGCGAAGATTTTTACAATGAGACACGTGCAAAGCATTTGTGAGACACATAAAATTAGTGAACCTCAGAGTTAGAATTCAAACCTTCTCCCTTTACACACAAAGCAAACAAGGCCCAGGAAGGGGCAGTGTGGTCGAGGTCAGTGGCACAGCCAGGGTACCATTCAGGGCCTGGACCGAGTGAGTCAGGCATCCACGTCTGGTCCCCCTCCGCCCACCGTCCTTTGGGGCCAGACCGGGGTTCTGCTCCTGACACCCTCCCCCCCACCTGCTGCGTGGCCTTGAGCATGAGACTTCACCACTCTGCACCTCACTTATGCTCTCTGTTAGATGGGGACAATAAAAATACCTGCCTTTTGGGTAAGTAGTGCATATAAAATACTTAGCACAGTGCCTAACACACAACGGATGCCTCGAAATGACAGCCGCGATGACAATGCTGTATTAATGTTATGTTGACTATGACACTTTCCCTTCTCCTCTTAGATTTAAGTCAAAACAGAAATTTGGCACGTCATTGAAACAAATTAATCCCCAATATTAGTTGAAAGTCAGTTCTAGTTTATCTGGTGAGAATCCAAATACAACTTCTGAGATCATTAAAAAGCTTCCTGAATAAAGCATGAATGAACAGGCAGCGGATCCACTGGGTATGAAAAGGCGAGTGGCAGCCCTGCGCGGCAGCTCTGAGGATGGCATGTAAGAGAATTATAGCATGAAAGGCATCACAGAACTTCACAGGAGTCAATCAGTTTGAAGAGAATCTCAAGTTAGTTCTATTTCTAATCTTCTGCTTCATAAAAAAGAAGACAAGACAAAGCACTGAGCTGGGAAAAAGGAGGTGCTTTAAATTTCACTGTTTAAACATTTTTTTCTGAAAACAAATTACTGTCAGCCACTTTGGTCACACAAAAGTTGTACGTTGTTTTTTCCCCTAGGTCTGCATTGACCAGTGGTACAAAGGGTTCAGTTCATCACCTGTTCGTGCACTTACCTAACTGGACGTCGGTTGTGAATCGCAGTCTGTGGATCATGCTGACTTTGAATGACTTGTAATGGTGGCTGCTAAGCATATCCTGCACTGTAGCTATGTCAATTTGTGAATCCTCCTCAAAAACCCCGTCTGCCCTTGAACCTGGGGAGGAAAAAGCAGTTTAACACATAAAGATACATGAGGCTTGGCAAATGGTGTCTGCTTAAAATGCTTTGGGATAAATTAAAATAATATGGGCTATTTAATTTGGAGGAGAAAAGGCTGAGCGATGACTTAATAATGCCATTCCAGTAAACAAGAGAATGGAAACATATTAATCATTCAACAATTAATTCCACAAACACTGCCTATTCTACAGCAGGCCCTTGGCTAGGCAGTAGGGATAAGAAGAATGGAAAAACTCTTGCTTTCCAGAAGCTCTCAGTCTCCACAGGAGTAAGTCAAAATCACAACAGCATGCATGGTCACACTTCTTGTTCCTTTTTCTAATATTCATTGCCTGGTCATAAAAGCACTCTGTGCCCCTGGAAGAATCCCTGTCCTTTCCAGGATTCTCAAACCGCCAGTTTACCAGCTTCCTGCCCTGCGCTGCGGCCTCCATGGTGCAGGCACCAGCCGGCCTGCGCTCACGTGGCTGTAAGTCTCCTCACTGGCCTCTGGCCACCAGGCTCCATCTACAATTCAGCTACCACAGGCCTTTACGATTCATCTATCTAATGCTTTGATCATTTATTCACTCATCAAATGTTTAGGGAGAGCTCTGTGCATGCTCAGTACTCTGCTATGTGACACTGGTGACAACTAAGAAGACTGGTACTCAAAAATCATCTCTGGCTTCCCATGACTTCCTAAGGGATGCACTTTTTTCAGCCAAGCAATCAAGACTGTCCATAATCTGGCAGCAACAAAATTCAATTTTGCCCGTCCCTTCTCACATGTATCTTCTCTCAGCCCCTCCCCAGAGCCTCGGACTGTGCACAGGTGCAGGTTTTTCTACTGCTAGGCCTTTGCTTGTGCGGCACAAAACCCTTTCCACTTTGACGCCAGACCTGTCCAAACCCCAGCCAGGCCAGCTCAAACTCCACCTCCTGCTGAATTCCACAGCAGTTGGTTTACACCGGACTCTGAGGCCAGGCAGACCTGGGCCAATTCCTAGCGCTGCCTCTAACTTACTGGATGATCTTGGGCAAGTGGCTAGCTCTCTGCACCCGTTTTGGCCATCCACAGAACGTCAAAATGTATTTAAAAAATCTAGCATAGAACAGGCTTCATAAGTAGCCGTCATGATTATTTCCACGCTACCGTCAGAGACGATCGCATTCAGCCTTGCACTAGAGTTGCTGAATGGTTGCTGTATCTTCATTTGGAAGCTCTGTGAGGGTCAGTCAAGTTTCTTGCTCATTTCTCTACCTTATCCTGCAAGCAGTACAGGTAACTGGCATGCTTTTGCTCAATTCTGCTACATGAATAAATAAGGCAGATGGATAAACAAACAGAAGCAAGTATGCATGAGTGCTTACTACACTTCAGGCATGGTGCTAAGCACCTTACACGTGCATTTAAGACCCACGACACCCTGGCTGTCGTTCCGCATCTGATGCTTTGGGAATCCGAGGCTCTGGAGGGAAAGTCACATGCCCAAGGTCACATTAAGCAAGGCTAAACTCTCGCTCACCCTCCGGAGTCTGAACCGTGGTTTTCTGAAGGTGCAACTGCTGGTGCCATTTACCAGAGGGAGCATCTGTCTAGCAACCAGAGTGGGGTGCCCTAAGCCTTGTGCTGGGCACCCAGAGGTGGCCCCACAGGGAGACCCAGAGAGAACTCCTTGGGATAAGAGTTGGAGGAGTGAAAATTCTAGATTTGGGTATAAAACAGGAAAACTGTTACATAACTTGTAGCCTGACAAATACGTACATGCTTTTCTTTCCTAGTTACTGCTTACGGGGCAAGCTTGTAAGTTAAAGCTGGTTTCTGGTGCCTTCACATTGAACTCATTTATTAGAAATTGTGCATTGTCTTTCCAAACACTACAATTCTTCTCAGCTGGGACCATTCTAGCACCTACAATAATGCTCTCCTCTCAGTAAGGATGCAGCCTCACCCTTAATGGGTCATTCACTGAATGCCGGGGACACAGTCCCATCTTAGAGCGTCTGCATGTCCTCTCTGCCAAGCTCACCCTTCTCCCCATTTCACTCCCTCCTGGCCTATTCCTCCGGGCCGCCTCCGTCTTTCTCCTGAAGAGCTCAGCTCAAGTGACACTCCAGGGAAAGCTGTCCTGACCCCAGGCCCCCAACTCCTGTCATCGTATCCTGCGTTTTCCTCAGAATAATTATCACAGGTAGTAACTTTCTGTCTCTGTCATTAGACTGTAAACCCCAAGAAGGCAGGCACAGTGGCTGCTTTACTCAGTCCCTGCAGCCCAAACCCTACTAGTGGTGCCACGCACAGGAGAAAAAGGGGTCAGTAAAAGTTTACTGGATGAAGACCAGGTGCCATGTCCACAGGAAGGTGAAGATCAGAGACGCTGAGTGACTTAGCCAACGTCACATCGATAGACTAGCAGAGTTACACTCAACATCCGTAAGGGCCACTGGGTAACTCTGTTTCCTGTCTTTGGAACACCTGTGATTTGGGATAGAGATGCCATCAGCATGATCACCGCTGTCTCCTAGGTTATGTCCACATCTCAGACCAAGAGGCTGGCTAGGCTTTAGAGTTTCGAATAATCACTCACTTTCTCCAATACACATTTTACTGAAACAGAACCGCCAAGAAGTGTTTATTTCTATTTTAGAAACTTTTATATACATGAGAGCTGTATTTTGGTGAAATATTAAAATCCTTTCATGTTTTTAAAAAAATTTAAGGCCATTTTTCCTGAGAAAATGCCATTATTAGCTGTAACTTAGCTCAAGAACTTCAGTTTCCTTTACTAATTAGTATTTTGTAAATATTGCAGGTATTTGATTTGGAAAGAGGTAAGCAGCTCATTATGCTAAAATGCCAATTACCAAAAAAAAACCCCCAAAAAACCAAAAAACCCCCCACAAAAAACCACACACCACATTTAGGAGTTTTACATTTTATGATGTTGGATTAAAACCAATTTAAAAATTACTATAACATGACATATAATTTTTTACTGAGCAATTTCAATGCCAGCTGCTAATAAAGCATCTTAGCTGTAAATGATAATTCAGATGCTTTTAGATAAAGTGGTGCATAAATACGGCTGGAAATTGATTTAGCTTCTTACAGGAGCTACTGAAGAATGACATATTTTGTTTAATACACCAGCTAATGTAGTCCTAAAAGCTCAAACAAGTGCCAGTTTTCACTCCTAAATTTGCTGTGGGAGATTAATGAAAACTTTATATTTTGCTGAAATGTTAATAATGGGCAGATGAGATGATAGGATTTTAGTAGAGGTCTTAAAGCTCTGGGATAACCAGCAAGGCTTGTCAATTTCCTCATATTCATTTTGTTGAAGACTTATGTAGCTGGAGCTGGCTCAACACACTAATGCTTCCTGCACTGACCTTCTCCTCTCTGACAGTGTAAATTCATCTCCCGTGTGAGGATTTAAGTCCCCTGACACTTGGGTGAGTTCTGAGCCTTGCCCCAGCTGGCAAGGGGCAGGTTTGCTTTCATGATTAGAAAGGCAACAGCACCTGGGGGAGCAGAGAGGGAAGAAACAGCCCTGCACGTGCCTCCGATCCATGCTGCTCACCCCACAGCAGGTTAGCTGCTGAATGGGAACAACTTCCGGTCTCGCAGTTCCAGGGCCATTTCTCAAGGAGTGCCGCCGCTTGGAGGGGCTTGTCTGTGTACAGATAGATCAGTCAGCTCCACAACCTGCCACTAACTCTCCTCAGGCCAGCGGTGGGCTAGACTCGGGAGGAACACTGGTGAGGATAATGCAGTATTCCTGATCTTTAGGAGTTTACAGACTTGCTACAGCAAACAGTACAAGGCAGAGAGAAGTGTCCAGTAAACAGTGCATGTAACAGATGCGTTATCTAAAGACAAACATCTGAAGCAGAACATTACACCAAAAGTGTGTTTTGGGATCAGAAAAGTTCTCTAACTTTGCATGTACATCTTTACTGTTTACATCCTTCTAGAAAGGAGCAAACCCAATCACACATGAACGATGTTTGGCACTGCACCATACGCATATTAAAATTATTACTGTACTATCAACTTCACATTTAAAAACCCACCTCTGTTCAAGGCAAGACAATTTTAGCTACTCAAAGTAAAAAGCAGAGAAAGCTGGAATGTCTTAAAAATAAATACATTAACAAGAAACACTCCCCAAACTGTTAATTTAATTGAAATATAACCCTGTGGTATTTTGTTAAATTAGCAATTAAAAAGGTCACAAGCAATTAAATGAAACAAAAGCCACACTGTGTTCATCTACATTAATGCTGAACAGGGTCTCCTTGTGAATGACAAGATAAATTGTAATGGTGCCTTCAAAGACTTCACAATGTATTTTGTCAAAGTCGGAGTGTTAATGTCTCTATGTGCCATGGATTACCATAATGTATTGTGTCAAAACGCTCGAGCTGCAATAACTCAAAGATGTATTGTGATAGATCAAATTTTGGGGTGGGGCCTAAAAGTGACTTGAGCAACACTGCTCAAATGGATGACAACAGGCTCTGGAAGAATGACAGAGTACATTCACAATGTGGAAAGGTTTGAGGGACAAGCAGAAAATCCGGCAGAGGCAGGAGCTTAACTCCCTCGAGTCAGGAACCAGGAAGGAGGAAACAAACAGTGACACCGCCAGGCCAGGGCAGGAGGGGGAGAAGGGAAGCAGGAATGAGACAGAGCGGGCAGGCGGAGCCTCGGGGTTGCGCAAAGAGGAGGTGCTGAGAGAGGCCCAAAGGCTGGGCAGTGGCTTTGGGGCTTAAAACATTGGCGAGGACCCAGATCCCAGAGTTCAGAAATGTAGGTTCAAGTTCTAACTGACACCACGGGTCAAGAGCAGGTCACAGCCTTGTCCAAGATTCCACTGCCGGGCAGAGGCAGAGCCGGAACAGGTCTGCTGGACTCTGCCGCCCCTGTTCCTTCTGTGTCCCCCGCCATCCCCTCCCACCTCATCACAATCCCACGAGCAGCAGCAA